TTTTTAATGAATATAATTTCACGGGAATAGCAGTTTGATAGATTAGTCTCAGTTTTACACAAAATATTATGAATTCAAGATAAGATAGATAAATTCAAATCCAGTAATAATTCAATTTCGTTAGAAATTGAACGTATCCGATGTCCCCTTCTGCAATTAATGATTTATATTATATAATACATAATAATAGTACTACTTATAAATATTAAGTATTAATATAATGATTTTTTATAACCTGCACTACAGCATTACGATAAAAAAGATTTCTGGGGAGGGCAAATGGCCCCAGTGCCCGTTCCTGGTTACAGCACTTCGTACAATTATTACTGAATTTTAAAGCATGTTTAATCGAACTTTGTTCAAAATCGTTTTTTGTTAGCAATGATTTACCCTTACATACATTATACATTTATTATTATTATTATCACCATAAACTATAAATAGGGTTCAGTGTTCGATATAATTATGCTCTGAAACTTCAGCATAAAATGCAATGAGAGGGAGAGGGAGGACGGAATACGAAAATTCCGTAAAATTTTATTGAAACCCATGTAATATTATGTACCTGTGTATAGCTCTCTTCTTGATTGAGCTCTAGATAGGCCACTAAATATAGATAACTCAATTATATACTTATATTATAGAATCTCTTATATGATTAAAATATTATGTAACAGAGAGTTGATGCGCATCTACTCGATGACGTCGGTTTTTAAAACATCAAAGAATTAATAAATAATTTATTTTCGGCATTTCTTTTATACAGACATTTTTTTTCCTACTGATTCACATTGCCGGGCGAAAATACAAGGTTTACATATTAAATAACATTTTTTTCTTTAAATTCTCTGCTGCAGTGTAATATAAATGGTTTATTATGGTCCACTATACAGTCTCGATTGTGTACAGTACAAAGGAAGGTAATTAATTCATTTTATTGACTTACTTAGAAAATCTTTCTAAACAAAAAAAAATAAATTTTTGACACAGTAATACGTCTAATCGTACAGTGAATTAGTTTAGACAGACTCTCTGTCTAAACTAAATTATTACTAAACTTAATGTTTTTAAAATAATTGTGTATTATACGTAGGTACCTTTATAGAATAACTATTATAGGAACATTGGATTCGGTCAAGTTGCATAGTTTATCATTTTTACTATATAAATACTTAACATGAAAAACGATTAAAAATTAAACTCGGTTTTACGTGGAAAATAAAGATGGCAACTATTTGTTTAGCGTTTTACATTCGACATTTAGTTTTATTTATAATTCCATTTGGATATCAACTATACAATATAAACACTACACTATTTTATAGGTAAACGGGATGGGGGAGGGAGTAGGGAAGAAAAAGGAGAACATTTCGGTAAAAGGTATTTGAAAACCTTTGTAGCTCACCTGGGACCTCGTATACCCTCAAAGTACCTTTTTTAGTCCACAACAGTAACTCGCGGGCATCTGATTTAGGACTATAATTTATACCGATTTGACAGTTGTGTCTTGCCATGTTTTATTTGTACACTCTCTCGCATTGACCCAAGTCTCGTCTAAATAATATATTGACCGGCCTTCCTTTCGGAATTTACTAATTTGTTCCAGGTAACGATTCCTTCAACTAACAATGTCGTCACTTTCGATCAGAGCACTATTTCGCCCTCTCTTTGCATAAACAAAATTAATTTCTTTAGGAAGTCGGTGAAGTGTGCTTCGTGAATAATTTCCTAGGCCTGTATCATCGTTTACGGTCTTCAAAATTTTGTCAATCGTAGGCACCTCACGTCGAACCAAAAACTATGAACTTTTTGGCGTATAGCGTCTTTCTCAAAATCATCAGTTTTGTGTATGATAGACTGTCGTATCTTTTTTTTGTTAGGAAATTTTATTATACCTTTATTTTTGTAGTCGCAAATTGTCGATTGGACAGTATTTCTTCCTACACCTGTTTGTGATGAGATCATCAATGCCACTTCTTTTACTTTGAGGTTTGGTTGCTCAACAATTTTTGTTTTGTATAGATTCATGATTATCATTTTCTGACGGGAACCAATAAGCTAAAAATAAACATTAAAAAATACTTTGTTGTATGCGTACTCAAATTTACATTGACCAAAAAGTATTTTTATTGCGTATCCAATTATTATATTCGAGTTCTAGGTAATTAAGAAAACTATTCATTCAAACAAACGCTTACCTTTCCTTTTGGGTTTCTTTTGACTGGAGAAACATCATACACTGACTCGCCGTCAATCATTTTAAAACAATTAAACAAACGGAGAAAAAATTAAAAATTACCAAACGGTACAAAAAAGTAAACGCTGTAAAAATGACGTGTGCGTACACCACGGCAATTGGCGATANACAGTGGACTATCGACAGACAACAGTGCATTATTTGAAACGCAGTGTACAAAACCTGCACCACTTCTGCGGTCGCCGTTGTTGCGCTGTCGATAAATCCGGGAGGGAATAAATGGATAGTGTTGCGGCATGGGGATGCGCAGTACCGCTTCGATTTGGTCGGAGAGCGGACCGTACTCTCCTGGGACAGACTATAGAAAAATTAGAAAAATCGGAGAAAATTAAACAAATATTATTATAAAAAATATATAAAGCCTATTTAATTATTTTTTTTACCAAAAAATGACATATATATATTGTTGACAAAGCGACACTAACACTCCGCTCAGAATCGTTTTTTCGTAAGCAATGCTTTATCGTTGCTTACAGATATTAAATTCTCATCCTATACCTTCCCAACTTCCCACATACGTCAGGCTGCCCCCGTCCCGATTACCTTACCTTTTTTTTTTTTATGTATACAGATTATGGAAAAATGATTACAACAATAATTATTAAAAAAATAATAAAAATAATAAAAATCTAATAATAACAAAAAATAAATAAAAACGGATGCTAATGACAGCCGTTTTTTAATCATTCAATCTTTTTTAACCTAAAGAACGAGGTTTTCATCATTATCCCGAATATAAATGAGAATTTCAAGTGATCTCTCGATAATCAGAGTAAGCTGTCTAGTAGAAAAAGTGTTCACATAAAAAAAAATGAATCATCATTAGGATTATGAATTAGTAGGAAAGTTCATTTTTTAGCTGATTGTGAAACATAGCTTTCTAAGTACATAATTTGAATCATGATACAACAAATACTTTTATGAAACTTTTATTTTGCATTTTTTGAGGTTTTTAATTTGTAAGTTCATTTTTCGGAATTTAAATCAAATTCCGTTTTAACTGACTTTTGTACATTTTTATGGCTTTTCACTACATTCAATTTACAGCTCTAATCATCATTGTAAAACTAATACATTCCTCCGCTCAGAATCTAAAATATTGTCGAAGAAGTAGACAAACAAACACTGGTAACGATAGCTCCCAAACCTATAGCCTTAGATATATTAGACCTTTCGCGTCATACGTCTTTTGATGTTTACACAATTTAAGTATAATTTCACATAATTTTATGTGTAGTTTATGTGTACATATTATATTAACTATTCTAGTCTACACATTAAAAAATGTATCCAATTTTATTTATATATGTACTTGTATTCAATAAAATTTTGTTGTATTACGTAACCGACTACAATATGTCTAAGTAAATAAACAATGTTATTACCTCTTAAATAATCACATAGTTAGTTACCTACCCTTAGGCTTGTCGTAAAGGTTAATACAATATTATTAATAAGCAGTATTATTTGTGAAGGTATAAAAACCTTAAAATATTTATTCATGGAAATACAATTATTAAGTAACTGCAGTGGTCTTCACACAGCTATCAAATGAGTTTCTCTATCGTCCGTATCCATACAGTATAACTGAGATAAGTAACTGTGTATATGTTTTATAACTGTAATAACCTGAACGATTTTGATAAAATACAAATCTTATACACATATATTATATACTTACATATGTTTCACATGTAAATAAACCATGCAAATGTGAATAATATTATTTTAAATGTGTATTATTTTTAAAACTGTTTTTAGTATTAATATTATATTTTATTAGTATTGATTAATTTATAACATTACGGTAGTTGAATGCAATTCCTTCAGTACTATTAGTTTATTAAAAAATAATAATAATAATAATGAAACATATAATACTGGCATGGTGTCTACAATTAATACACGTTGAAGAAAAAAATGAATAATAAAACTTATACTACACACAAGGTGCATACAATTAATGTGCACTTTGTATAAGTAAATAAGTAATGTTTGTTTTCATTGTGGATCATGAGGTCGCGATGTTGAAATAGGCGGATCTTTTCTGTGCGACCGGTTACCTTCTTAACGTGGTTTCAGTATATAATAGTCTATTTATCCTATGCTATCACTAAGATAATAGATGGGTCTCATAAGGTTTTGTTTGGTTTTGAATGATTTTTATAATATAATTCAGTTTAAATTGATAAACTATTTTTATTTTTTTGTATTTCAGTCACATAATTACATTATGATGATCAATTTAAATTAATTTGAAATTATATGAAAAAAAAAAAAAATAAATAAATACAGAACAATTATTATATAACGAATAATTGTTTAAATTATAATTTATGTTGAGTTACAATTGTTATACCTACTCAAATATTAATGTAAAACACTATGGGACAGTGGTCACTACCTAGTATTTCACTTCTTATCACACAATCGCACACATTTTCCATAAATCTTTCAGATAATAAAAAATAATCCAGTCTCCTAAAAAAAAAAAAAAAATGTAATAAGTTTATAACAATATGTACATTATAGTTTATTAAGATCAGATACTGAATTGATCTCGTACATACACAACATTCAAATACATATATAGATAAATTTCCTTAAAGCGATACAACTATAATATACTATCTATGATTCCTAGAAATGGCGAAGTCAGGGTATAAAATATAAAGATCTGATTCCCTAGGGCCTAGATCACTTGAAAACCGTTTAAGAAAATTCCAGTATCTGCAATATTACAGTACTATAGCTATTTGTTTAGGGGCTTTTTATTATTCCATCAAACTAAAATATTATTAATGTTTAACAACTACTAACCATCCAACATTTCTGGCTCTTGCATTGCTAAAGTATGTCCAATAAGTGTAAGCACCAGTTTTCTCTGGATATAATGTTCTGAATGTATCAACAAATCCTTGTTCAAGAAGTAATGTCATATTATCTCTTTCTTCTTTAGTAAAGCCAGCACTTTTTGTATTTGTTTTTGGATTTGCTATATCTATATATATATATATATTAAAATAGTAAGCATACACAGTAATAAATTGTAAATAATAAATTCTACTATACCAATTTCTTGGTGAGCAACATTCAAATCCCCAGTAAGTATAACTGGTTTTTTTTCATCTAACTCTTTTAAATAATTACGGAATTTCTCATCCCATTTCATTCTTTTTGGTAGTGTTTTTAACCCTTGGCCTGCATTTGGAATATCTAAATAAATTCAAATTTTTAGTCTAAAAGGTAATAATGCAATTTAAAATATATACATAAAAAATTAAAGTATTACAAGTAGAAACTAAGAAAAATTGTTCATATTCTGCTTCTATAACACGGCCTTCATTGTCATCCAATTCTTTTATTTCTTTTCCCATCCTTACACGAATAGGTTTTGTTTTAGAAAATAATGCAACTCCTGAGTAACCTGCTTTTTCTCCTACAAATAAGTCAAAAATAAATTTGAAATAAGTATTATAAAACATATTTTTATCTGTATATTAGTGATAATTTGAACATTTTAAAATACAAACATTTAACAACAGTAACCCCTACAAATTATTTTTGTACTTATCCAACTTTATATTTTAAATAGATTCTGAACAAAGCGAGAGCTATTATGATACAATAAAAAGATAAAAATTTTCCCAGGATAATAGTTTTTATTTCGGATATTATAATCAACTAATTATGTAAAATATTTTATAGTTGGATTATTAATCAGTGTAAATAGACCCTATAGTTGTAAGATTTACCTAAACACTTGTTTTTATTTTTGATTATTAATAATCTGATGCTCAGCCGAAAAAAAACAGATTAGTATCTTACGATCTGTTTTTTTAAATACAAAATAAGAGCTTTAAATTGTTCAAATGTTTTGGGGTAAGTTCTCCTTGTCATTGAGTGCTGAAATTCAGTTAACTATTAGTGAACAATCTCACATACCCTATCAATATAAATAGCAACCATTTTATTCTTATTTTAAAATAGGTACATTTTTCTGTCAATTTGTGTTGAGTATTTTTGCTTATCTATCACAAATAGATGACATTTTTTAAAAGACATACAAATAGTTAAAAATTAGATAAAATTATAAAATTTGAAAGTTAAATGTTTTTGTAATCAATACATATATTCTTAATTATCATACAGTATAAATAAATATAATTTTACCTGGATTAATATAAATTTTGTATCCAGATAGTTTAGCTTCTTCTGGCATTTGTTTTTCTGTACATTTAATTTCTTGCAAACAAAAGATATCTGGATCCTCCTTTTTGAGATATCCTATAACATCTTTCTAAAATTTCAAAATAATATTAGAAAGACAAATATATTTATACGATAGGTGTCCCTAAATTATAAATTTCAATATTTATTCAGTCTCACACTCTGATTTTGTATATATGCATAAAAAAAATGAGCTACAAAAAGTTTTAGAACGATTAATTAAGGTTAACCCGTGCTGACTTAAATTTAAAACTTGAGTACATTAATTTACTTGTAATTTAATGATATATTTCAAATTTTTATAAATATTTCATTTACATACAAAAAAATTGAAATTTGTTACATGGTATTTTATTAATAAAATAAAATTGTCTATAAATTATATTCTTATATACTTCTTATTTATTTTCATTTACAAGATATGTATATTTACTTTAATGTGTGAAAGGCCAGTGTTTTCTCTAAAAAAAATGTTTGATTATTTTTTTATTAATATTAATTTTATATATAGTTTATATAATAACTAAATAACAAAAACTATTGTTATATACTTGAAAAAGTTTTGCGAAAATCTTAAAAATAAACAATAAAACGCTTAGTTGGTTGGATATTTCCTTCATTGTTAAGTGACTGTACCATTAATCTTTTAATTTCATTTGGTAATGTTTCGTCAAAAAAAACTAATGTTGTTGTCTCTTCTGATAAGTACCATAGATGATTACTTATTTTTTTCATGGTGGCTTTTAAAATTTTAAACTGTTCATTTTTATAGTTTTAAACATTTTAAACACCACCAAGACAACCAATACAACCAAGAAGTCTTTGATTAATTAATAACTGTTTATAATTTCAATTTTCATTATATTTAAAGCATTAGCATGTACAATATTAAATACATTGTCAAATTTATTAATGAATTATATTTCTTTTAATCTAAATTAATCACTTAATTTTTGTGAATTCGTTTGTGCATCACGTCATTCTTCATACAAATTTAATAGTTTAATTATACAATGTTGAACTGCTCAGACAAGAATTCGAGCTTTTTCTCAGAAAATATTGCACTCACAAATGACTAACAATGCACTTTCTTTTGTTTTAAGTTTTAACGTTCTCACACAATAAAAAAATACTGTTAGCACTTGCACCAGTCAACATGTCTTGTGAAAATAAATGAAAATAAATAAAAAATATAATTTATGGACAATTTTATTTTTTTTAAAACTTACAAATTTTAATTTTCACTTTAAACATTTTTGTAGCTCAATTTTTTTATGCATACACACAAAGTCAGGAGGTGAGACTAACAAAAATGCAAAACAATTTTTCTATAGTAAAATAAGGGACACCCTAGTATACATGATCAAAATAATTTTGAAGAAAAAAAAAAACAAAGGTTTTTAATTTAAAAATTATTAAATTAAGCAATATTCCTTTACCTTAAGCCATGCTCTCATACCAGCAACATTCCAAGAGACTATTTTCATAGTCCAAGGTTTATCTTTAGAATTTTTTTTGTCACAACCAAAATTAATAGAGCTTAAATCAACTTGTCCTGATTTTGGTTTTTTTGATTCTGAATCATCGCCATCCTTTTCACGACCTCTTTTCATTGAATTTTCTGTAGTTTTGACGTAATCACCAATTTTTTTTTGTTTTGTTTTGGTACTCATTTTATTGTATATACCTTTCAGTCTAAAGAAAATAACTATTTTTAGAAACGCAAAAGAAAAAAATATTGAATTTTATACATAATATTTTAATATTTATTAATAATTATCATAAATAATATTATATTTAAAATGTAATATAATATATACTACATATTTTTTTATAAAAGGTAAATGTATATATATATTAAGTATTGAGAGTGAACATAGTGAGGACTGTATTGGTTTTACTATGAGTGCTTTTTTTTTTTTTTTTTATTAAACAATTTTAAACAATTTTTCGAACAGAAAACTGTCTAGATTCATTAGGGCGTGTGGTTTCAAGTAGAAAATTGTATGTAATTAATGCATTGAGTAAGGATTTTTTTTTTTTGGACCTTATTGATTACAAAATTTTTAGTTCTGTAAAACTTCTCAGTTATTTTATACAATGGTCATTAAAAGTTGTATTTACTGGTAAACAACAAAAATAATAATTAATAATAATATTATAATTTATTTTTAAAGTTGTTTAAAAATTCAAATGTGTAATACAATTCATTGAAAACATGAACAATTGTAATTTATTTTGCTTTTGTGGTTACCAATTAATAAAATGAGTGTTAACTTTGAAGACAGTTCAAATTTGACTGATATTTCTAATATAAAAAATGAAATTGAAAGGAATAATACTGTAACAAGAAACATAAAAAAATTAATTCAATAAATTGGAAGACTATTTATATGTACCATTAAAAATTTGTGAAAAATTTGCTATCAAATAAAAATGTATAAAAAATACACAACAGATAACATCATTGTAAATATTAATTGAAGTCTTAGTCTTACATTATTCAACAAAATAAGAAGCCAAATTAAAGTTCAACCGACTGCTATTTCTAGGAAATAAAAAGGATTAACTTAAGATTCAAGAAAGGTTCCGTTTGGGCGACCTCCAAAAAACGAAAAATGCAAAATTAAAAAAATTATTTATATAATCTTAATCATAATAATAATAAAAACCAAATGAATGCTACTTATCATGGCAGATCATCATAAAATTGGAATAATTTTTAAGTACCTACCAAACTATTAAAATTAAGTGTCATTTGTTTCTATATATTTTATGCTGAACAGTTTATTTCATTTGTATTTGTTTGCTATTATCATTATGTATATACTATTTTATTTATAATTATTAAATTAAAACAAATTATTTATAATACATTTATAATTATTAAAAATACTTTAGCTAGGTGGGCACTATAAATTATAATATGATTAAGTGTTTATTTCAACACCCTCTACTGTGATTTTCGTTAATGAAAAAAAATAATTTATAACTGCAGATATTTATTATTACCATCTTTAATAATATACCAAATGATTATTTTAAATGTCCAATTTTAAGATGTAGACATTACCTATAAGTAATATCATTGAGGAAGCCACTGATTTTAATGTCATGATTATGTTTACCAATCAAAGTTTTGCACATAATGTAGATGTAATTTTTAGATAAATTAAATTTTGTCTAATACTTGTGGAAAATAACTCTACAAATATATAAAATACGTGGCAATTTGAAATTGACCAATAAGAGCGCAGCTACAACAAATATACAAAATTACTGTATAACTACAATAATAAATAATATTTGGTATCAATGAATAATAACAATAAACTTATTGTATTTACTGATTAACTAAATAAGAATTCAGCCAGGATAGTAATGGGTCACTGATACCAAGAAGATCAAGAGTTTTGATCAGATAAGATCAATTTACCTAGTCAACATTTTAGAAAAATTAGTATGGAACGCATTAACTTGGTAGTTGTCACAGGAGCCTTATATGTAAATAGATCCAAGTTGCACGTTGTAGACTTGTGGTTAATTGGCCAGGTCGGAATCCGCGTTGTTTCACGGCAAGAATGAGATTAATAGATGGATAAATTAATTTAATCACGATTATTTTAACAGTTTTAGAAATGTGGGACAGGATGGTGATAAAACAGTAGTTTGTTACATTTAGTGGATCACCTAACTCAAGAGTTAAGGAAATGGATCCAAGTTATAGGTTTGAGGCAAAAATATCGAAATTCGAGGATTTGTAAAAAATAATATATGCTCTGAAGCTTTGTATTATCAACAAACAGTTGAGAGTGCTGAAGGATATTAGGAAGATCATTTATATTTTACATAAATATTAAAATGTTGGATGGACAAATAATCACCCAGGGGACACTTGATATCTAAAGGAACAGTCAATTCGACAGATTCCAAATTTAAAAACTTAAAAATTTTAAAATAGGTAATATGGTGATTATTTAGAAAATAATAAAACAACAACATCAAAGGACCTGTGAAATCAAATTACTGTAATTTCTCAAATAAAATTTAATGAATGGGAATATCTGTTTATAAACTATGTCCGTTTGAGTGCTGCATTCAAAATATTGCAAGATTGAATTTTTCACTAAAGCAGTTATTACATGAAGATCATTTAGGTATACAACAAAACTGGTTATTATCAAGAAACTTAGAGCAATGATTTGTTATTTTTGAAGGTATTCATTTCAGAAGAAATTTTGACTAGAACAAAATTCTAAACAATTATTCATAGCTAAATAAAAAAATGTCACAATGAAATAATGCTTATTATTGCTAATCAGGTTGCTAATCAAAACAAATACCTTTTAAATACAAAGGAAACCATTTAAAATTGTTTACTGATTTACATACTAAATGAATGGTTGTGTATAGGAAAAAAATAATTTAATGCATAAACATTCAAAACAAGGAATTTGTACAATGGTGGAAAAATTGATAAAATATAAAGATTAAATATTAAATAATTGTGTCACACATGTCACATGCCAATAAAGTAAATAATACCTATGTTAGAAAGTTCTAGTTAAAAAATTACTCTTCAGTTTAGAATATTTAGATCTATAGTTCTGAATAAGTATGTTAGGTACCATGAAGTGTGTTAGCAACAAAATAATTGCCTACTTGAATGTAAATTATCTTTTTTTAAATTTGGTATTATTAATTTTCCACTTAAATATCTAAATAATTATTAATTACAAATTATACTGTATACAATTGAAATGTGTTGTGTATAATGTATGTGCGTGTAATTAAGATACAAAATATAAAGTGTGAAGTATGGATAAGATAAGATAGACATTAAGGACAAATAAACCCACCAATAAGAAATAAACCAGTAAATTAGTCTGGAGCTGATGTTCCATTACGAACTACGTTGGAAAAAAATGTTAATGGATAAAATCATAGAAAAAAAAAAAAAACAAGTAAGACTGATTTCTAACTAACATGTAATATAATTTTATTTCTATATAATTTAAGAGTCAACGTTAAATAAAAAAAAATTAAAGAGAGCAAAAATAAACTAATAATATTCTGCTCAGAATTGTTTCTTAAAAACTTAAAAACTCAAAAATTATTTGTAGCATATTGGACTATCATATTGATGTAAATTAGATACAATACTAAATAAATATTATTAAAGAAAATAATAAATAATGCATATTACATATTGTTGACAAAGCAACACTATTAACCGAATTCTACTCAGAATGAATTGTTTTTGGTTAATCGTTGCGTACAGATATACATTAAATTTCCCCTCTACCTTCTTAACTACTCACCTACAACAGTGCAAAATATGTCAGTTTTTTTAAATTTGATTATAATTTGTTTATGTCCTCTTAATGTAATCTGCCTCTCACACTAATATACCTAGGTAAAAATATAGTTTAGTACCCAAGCTTGATTTTCAATTTTTTTTTTTTTTTTTTAAATGTGTGTTTTTGCCTGTACATTTAAAATCTAAAAAAAAAAAAAGTTGTATGAAATTCGTTTGGAAGTTATGGGCGAAAATTTCATGAAATTCGTGGTTTCTGTTTCACATATTTCGTAGTGAAAATTCAACATTTTCCATTTTTTTTTTTTTTTCAAAATTTGTGTTTTTTAATGCTTAATCCAATGGTTTAATCAAAACTTATCTACAATAGTTATTTTTGAAATTATTGTACACAAACCTTGAAAAATAGCATTTTTGGAATTAATCTAAAATGTGATCATTTTAATAATTATTATTATGATTTATATTTATTGATATTTTGATACCAAAATGTTTTATTGAAGTCTAGATAAGTTTATCTGGCTTAGTTTTCCTTATTGCCTTTCCCACATGGTTTCGCACAAAAAATCAAGGGCTATTTCGATTAAAACATTTTTATTACAAACGAAAATAATACTCACATATTTTTTCCAGAAGAGATGTTACCTAATTCTAAAACGAAGGTATAATTTAAAATACGTCCAATGTTTTATATTTGTATCTTTATGATTATTCAGATTTGAAAATGGTATTAAAAATAATTTTGATAATACTTTACGGGCAAGAATATTTGAAAACCGTTGACAAACAGCAATTTAGACCAAATGGCGAATGGCGATCGCTAAGACGATGGCCGGGAAGGGGGAGGGAAAAGCATTCTGTCTATTCTATGGAAAAATAATTAATTTTGATAAGAACCAACCGTGTTATCAATAAATAAATGTTCTTATAATCTCTTCTGACCCTACAGTCTACACTACTGTAAATTTTTTTCGTTTTTATTCTGCGTTTCTCGTCACAATGAATTTGATCATGGGTGAATTTAACAGACTTCCTCGATAGCTTTTGTAAATGCTTGATAATAAAAAAATAAAATATTTAATATGTAAAAATAAAGTTTAAACATTTTGTTCTCTTTTATTTTGGCATTTAATTACATTTATTTTGTAGTTACCTATAAATATATAGTTTAGTCATTACAAAATAATATATTAAGCCATTAATCAATCCCTACAGTAAGTTTTCCGTCCTCAATCATAATATAGATGTATTTGTTATAATATTATAAATAATTAGATAATACGTTCTACAGCTAACGATGACTACTAGGGCAGTTCACTAATGGCTGATCGGGCAAGTGTTGATTCTACCGAATCTGCTAGCACAAGTGATGAATATGAAATTGTCCCCACAAATTCGTTAAATGTGACATACTTATCAAAATCATTGTAATACATTTTAATAATACTAGTATCATTTTTATAGAAATGTGATGGTCGACCTGAGTTAAAGATTGGCGGTGATGGTGATTTGGAACACATGCAAAAATGTCTTGGTGAAATATTGAATGAAGAGAATGAAAGTCAACCAATAAACAAAACGATGGCCGATAAAGATACTAATAATGATACAACACATTTGACCAAAATTCCAGAACCTGTTTTAGATGATATAAGTAAATGCATACATGAATAGGCACCTTAAAATGTTTTAATTTAATAAAGTAGCCATTTAAACTTATAAAAAAAATGTAACATACATTTTAATTAATATCTAAGTATGTAGCTTAAAAAATATTAAGATATGCCTGTATAGTGTATATTATGTAAATAATAATTTAGGTAAAATTCAAAAAGGTACAATGTTTCATGGAATTTCATATCTTGGATCAGCTAGTATAACACACCCCAAAGACAAAATAGAAATATTAAGAATTATGGCCATATTAAATGGAGAACATGTCGCTGATCAAGATATGAAAATATCAGTATCTATTCCAATTTCATCTGACGGAGCTGTTATGTAAGTAGTTGAAACTCACTAAAATAATTTAAAATACCTTGACTGCATAAATAGTTTGTTTTGTTATAATTGAAAGAATGGGAATTTGTTTTTGTTATAGTTTATTTGATGGAACAAGCAATACAATAATAGCCCGTTATGAAATTGAAAGAATAATGTTTTACGCTAATGGTGTGAGTGGAACTAAAGAAGCATCGTGTTTTGCCTTTAGTTGGGCACATGGTGATCCTAAAGAAAATGCGCTATTTCAATGCCATGTATTCCGTTGCTCAATTCCAGAAGCGGTATGCAACACCTTTTAAGTCGTATTTTTAGAATTTATTAAAATAATAGCTAAATCATATTACCTTGCCCGTATTTTACCTAAGTAATTGTTTTTGTTTTAACCAATTATATTTACCTATTTTTAATTTTCCATTAAGCTTAGTTGTCATCATAATATTCATTTATCTGGTGTAACAGTTGTTTAAACAGTTTTTTTATCATAAAGCTTATACATGACAGGTGAACCGTGTATCCAACTGTTTTGTGAAGGCCTTTCAAAAAGAATCAAAATCTACTGTGAGTTCTATATTACCACAATTAGATTCAAACGTAACCTTAGATATGCAAAATAAGAACGGTTCTACTGAGATTTTTATTTTTGAAGTGAGCATGGAAATAAAAGAAGATGATGGAAAGGTAATATTTTGAAAATTATTTTATGTATAGTAATTATTTATTCTAAATATTTGTTATACATTACATGTATGTAAAGGGAGGATTTATATCAGTACCAAGAGATAGAAATTTTCTTAAGCTTAGAGCAAATGTAGAAAAACAAGTGTGTTTAACTATTCACCAAGTAGTATCCGGAACTCAGCAAAGAATATTGCAATTAGAACGATGTTTTGGTGTTCTAGTATGCCCAGGTCGTAATGTAAAGAAAAGTGATATGCAACTTTTGGACATGGTAAGTAATTATTGCCTATATGTTTTATATTGTATAAACTACTATAATTTATGTAAATAATTGACCAAATATAGGTATCCATGGGAACCGATTTATCAGATACTGATGGATGTAATACCATTTATTTAATTACTGGTCACTGGGACCCTTCAGACAAAGTATTTGAACCTCTAAACAGTGAAACTCAATGTTCCTATATTACTGTTGCAGTAGATTTAGTTATGCGTAAGATTGAAGAACCCGTACGATTATGTATAGAGACTCCCATTAAAGTATATGCTGCCAATGAAAGATTTTGGGTTTTTGGACGTAGACAAGTTACTCATCAATTTTATTTAAATTTGCAACAAGTATGTATGTTTGTATTTATTTTGTGGTAGTTTTAAAATATGAATTTTATTTATAGATTAATTCAGAAAATGTTGATATTGCTTACAAACTTTTGAATATTGATTCTTCTGGTGAAATGGATAAAAGTCGTTTAAATATGACCTTAAACAATTTGGCTAATTTTATTAAAACTCAAAGTGTTAACTCAATTGAACTGTCTTCTCCTAAAGATGATGATTTATCTGGTAATCTAACATTATATTGTATTAATCAATTTATTAAAAGAAGTTTTAATTATAAAAAATAATTTATATAATTTGTAATTATTGATTTTTTATATATAACAAAAATTAGAATATTTAATTTTATAGTTTGAGATAATTTATTTATAATTAATGTTACAGATAATGATGAGCCTTTGGTAAGTGGTACTGGGGACGTGTCTAAAGAGTGTAATGAAGTGGAATTAGAATCGTGGAAAGATGTTTTATTAAAATGGGCTACATGCAAATCTCCTCCTGCCAGACAGTTAGCAATACTTGTTAAAGAAGGTATACCTGAAGCTTTACGTGGGGAAGTGTGGTTTCGTTTAGCCAAAGCTGATTTAGATCCAAAACTTATGGATACCTATAGAATACTTATTACTAAGGTAATAAATAATTAAATAGCCATAATCTTAAGAAAACATATTTGCATTTAGTTTTTTACATCAGTCCTCTAAAATTGCTTTACATAAAACTTAAATATTTTAGTGTTTAGATTTAATGTAGATTATTATAAACACGTGCAGTTAAATCTGAAGAGAATATTTTTTTTTACGAAATTTTACTATATTTTTCTGTGTGTGTGATAAATATAAATAGTAAATTTAAGTATTACAATTTCTCTTTAATTAAATTATTCAACTAACTACTGTTATGAATTATAAAGAAATGCAGATTTAAAATTGGTTCAATAATTTGTATTATCAAACAATTTATATTGTTTCTTAATTTATTTAAATTATCTTTTGTTATTGTTACTTCATTATTATTGCTGCTATTATAAGGATTGTGACTGTGGTGGAACAATTCAACGTGATATCCATCGGACTTTTCCGGCTCATGATTTCTTTAAAGAAGCTGGAGGTATTGGTCAAGATAATTTATTTCATTTAACTAAGGCATATGCCGTGTATGACACTGAGGTCGGTTACTGTCAAGGTCTAACATTTCTTGCCGCTACTTTACTGTTACATGTAATTGATTTTTTTATTGATTTTTTTAAATGATTTTACTCTAATAAATATTTATTAGTTAACAGTAATTATTCATTTAATTTAGATGCCTGAAGAACAAGCCTTTTGTGTCCTATTAAAACTAATGTACGATTATGGCTTAAGAGAATTTTATAAAGATGGTTTTGAAACAGTTTATTTGAAACTATATCAACTGAATAAGCTCATGGAAGTTAGTTAAATTAAAACTTTAAAACTTAATTTTTCAACCTAAATTTTTTCTTTCACTTTTTATCCAGGAACAAATTCCTCAACTTTTTAATCACTTCAATGCTAACGGAATCGAAGCCCACATGTATGCCTCTCAATGGTTTCTTACACTCTTCACAGCAAGGTTTCCATTGTTTTTTGTATTTCGTATCATGGATGTGGTACTTCTTCAAGGATTGGATACATTGTTTCAAGTTGCAATTGCTTTATTACAGGTATTATTATTAAATATATAGCATGTATTAGATAGTTAATCAACCAAGATCAATACAGCTTATTAATAAATATATTATATAACTAATTTTCGTTTTCAGTATTGCAAAAAAGACTTGCTACTATTAGATTTTGAAAACATTCTCAAATATTTTAGAGTAACAATGCCAAAAAAAGTACGTAATGAAGAAGTTGCCAGACATTTAATAAAAAATGCTTGTGTTGTCAAATTAAAGAAAATTAAAAAATATGAACACCAGTTTTTAACATTGAAAGGTAAAATTGTTACTGAGAATGTTAATCAATAAATATTATACGCAATATATAATATGAACATTTTTTTTTCAATAATTAATTGGTTTACAGAGGCTCAAGAAAATGCTGAAAATTTTACTAGTGAATTAGATCAAGTGAAAATGACATTAAAGCAGACTGAAGAAGAAAAAAGTCGCCTTGAAGAAGAACTCACTAGGGTAAAAAAAAAATTCTATATTTTATATGTAAATACATAAAATTATGTTACATTTTATTTAGGTAAAAAATATATTAAAAAAAGAAATTACAAAAGCTGATACAGAGATTAACAGAGATCAAACAATCATTAAAGAATACAAACAAGTAAATAATTACAAAATATTTATAATTGTGTTATATTTAAAAATGAAGTAGATAGGATACATGAGTAAAAAAAACCAAACAACTTATAAACATAACCACAAGCAATAATTTATAGGAAATTTATCAAAAATAAAACTTAAAATTATGTACAATGTACTTACATTTTTAACACACTATATTGGATTTTTTACAGTGTTTATCCATTATGTGGCCATTCAATTGATTATTTTTTGTGTGTATCCATGTGACTCAGGAATCTTTAAAATTAAATGATATGTTAAATTGTCTATTGAAATTTCTTATTTTGTTATAGGTAAATTTTTAGATATAGGATATGTCCTATGTCCTATAAAATACCAGGAGTTTAAATCTAATAATACTCTTTTATTAAATTGTTATTCAAATATTGGACCAATCAATGTTATTCTTTGGGATTCACATATATAGTTATTTTATTTGCCTTTGATAGAACTTTTTTTTTTATTTATTCTAATTTTAAAAATATAAATAATTTCTTTGTAGATATGTCAAAGACTGGATGCCGAACAGGCTTCTATGAGAGCTGTTATAAAATTGCTTAAAGTAAGTAGATTCCAACTTTAAACCAGTTGAATGACTTGTTTTATTATAATATTTTAATACAATAATTTTTTTGTAGAATACGTTAAGTGAATGCACCAGATGCAGATCATTTATTGAATCACCATTGTTAAATAATGATAATATGTTATCTCAAAGTGGAACTACTGCAGACTCAGTAACTGAAGAAAATAAACTTTCTAAGCGAATTACTGAACTTGAAATTGAACTTGCTCAAACCAAATTGGCCTTAGTTGAATCAGAATGTAGAAATCAGGTACATAATAATTTTTTCCCAATGTGTTAAAAAAAAAAAAATGACACCCAATTAAGCTGCCATGTTAATAGGATTTGGGACATAGGTTGGGTGTGACGTTTTCGGAACTTCAAGCGTCCAAAAACACATTACCTCCATGGTTACAAAAAACTCTGACATCAATCAAAGAAGTAACCACCAATAAGACAAATGAACAACTACGTATGATTGTCAACAGAAGAGATTCTGCACCTAACACTCGGTCATACGAACTGTAAAAGATAACCACATAAATAAAAACTTATATGAACAAATACTTAATAATAATTATTATTTATGGTACTTTTTACAGTATACTATAAGTTAACAATTATAAATTAACAAAACAATTATTAGAAATGAGCTTTTTTTACTAAAATATGTTTATATTATTAAAATAGTATAATTTAAATTATACATTTTGGTATAGGCTGTTAGACAAATTATTAACTAATTATTTATTTAATACTTATTTCATTAAAATAATGTTATCATTCCAATATCCATTACTCTTTGTTCAAATTATGTTGTTAAAATGCGATAAATGAATTATTATTCTTTATAGTAATTGTTTTTGTTTTATTTTTTTTTTTTTTTTCAAGAATAATATTCTTGTAGATTACTTACCAAATTTCCTTAAATATCAAATGTTTTGTACGTTTTTTTTTTTTATGATTATTATTTAGTATATTATTTCTCATTGATAAAAATGTTTTTATTTCTTTTCTCCCTAAAAAAATATAATTAACTTCACTATTTCACTGATTATAATATAATTATTTAATAGTAATAATATTATAATATAATAAAAATATATTTGAAAATTAAATATATTTTTTAATGAATTTCTGAAAATGATTAATATAATTAAACATATATAAGGAAATATTAGTTATAGCATTAAGTGGGTACTTAAATGTTGCTAAAATTCAATTATTACAGAGTATTTCAGACAGTAACAAATGGTTTTCTTTTTAAATTAGTTCAGTGAATTATTTAAATTAAAACTAATCATACATCAGACACATCCTGAATTAAGAACAGCTCATGGACAAGGCAATAATTCTGAAGTAGGTAATATTTTTAAGGGATTGTTCAGTAATATAAATCCAAATGTGTAAATACATGACATTCTAAAGTAGGTCTTCTTGCTCCCAGAAACCACAAAAGTATCTTTTTACTTACACAAATATTTTAAATTGTGTAACACATTATAATTAATTACACAATATCTATTTTTTAAACCTTTGGTAAATGGGAATCTGAAATAATTTTGCTTCTAAAAATAAATGCAGATTTGATTTTGTATTATAGAAGTTATTTTAAAATAAAATAATTAAATTATATTAAAGGTACGTAAATTAGATAAACGATTTCCTGATCAAACCATAATAAAATTAATAACGTTTCTTTAATAACCATTTCTTTCATCTTTTTAGGAACACGTGAACTAGAACATTATAATGCATATATGGTTGAGAAGTAATTTTTAGAAGGCCCCCCTCCAAAGTTCAACCCTGGATCCACCACTGGCCACTGTTCACCCTTATAAAGTAAATATATAATACAAATTTATTTCTGGACTTTTGCCACTTCATCATAAGTTGTTTGCGTGGATCAGTAGGTACGGGAGAGGATAGGGATGTCATTAGAGGCAGAATATGAACTAACAACCGTACAATTTGTATTAATAATTATTGGTCTAGGTGTTCACTCCGGATCGTTTTTTGTTAACAATGGTTTATTTTTGTGTACAAGTACAGATATTAAAATAAAATAACTTTATATGTATTTTACCTTCCCAACTTCCGACCTGCCACAGTGGCAGTCCCCAATATCAGCTCTTTTTTTTTTTTTTTTTTTTTTTTTTTTTTTTTTTTTTTTTATGAAATTTTGTGCAATCACATTACATTTCGGCAATTTATTTTTGTTCAAACATAATTGGTGCCTTGCCGGTGAATTGGCCTCATCAAATATTTGCACTCCCTCGTAAGAAACTGAAACGGCGCCCCTGGAGAAGGCGGTCGTTGCTTCTCGAAAAAAAAAAAACGGCGAAAAACCCGTCGTCGTAAAAATCGGGAAATCGCTCGCAAGGGGTTGAGCAGTAAAAAAATGAAAAAAAAAACAAAGAAGAAAAGTGTTACGAGCCGAACACGGCGGTGTTTTCATTACGCGCGAACGGAAGGGCCGCCGAAACAACCGTCGCCGCCTCCGCTACCGTCTCTCTTATTAATCATAAACACGTCGACGCGTCCTCGTACTTTCGACTTTGTAATAGTCGTCGTCGTCGTCGTCGTCGTCCGCTGCTGCAGTAATGTACCCGCGCTTCTTAATTTTTTTAGCCCGGGTCGGAAGGTTTTTTCATCGGCCTCCGGGGGCCAGTTTTCTACGCGGGGTCGTGTAGCTCTCTGTTTTCCGAAGAAAATTAATTACGGGCCGTCCCTTTTACGTTCGTTCCCGACGACGACGACGACGACGACAAGGCGGAAAGAAGACAAGAGCCGCACATTTCCGCCGCCGTCGTGTTATTGTTATTATGAATAATATTATATTCTTTTATGATATTACAAACGGCGGCTTTTCGTTGCCGTAACATATTTTGCTGTCCGTATAACGGTTGCGTTTTACTTTTTTTTTTTTAAGTTTTTTTGATTTTCGTTAACCTTTTTTTTTTACTTTATAATTACGGAGGATTGCCCGAGTAACGAATATGCTTACGCAATCCCGGTTTTTCGGTATTTTCGATTTCATACTTTTTTTAATTTTTTTTTTTTTTTTTTTTTTTTCGTAATTCACCAAAAAATATTAATAAGAGCCTTAATTACTTTCACCTCATATTATATGCTCACATAGGTGTGTGCCTACTTACCGGTGACTTACGGGTGTCTCACGAAGATACGAACATTGTAAAATCTTGGATCGCGATTACTTTTTTCGGAATTTTTTTTTTTGACAATTTAACAAAAAAAAAACTTAGTAACTCTAAATTGTTACAGTAACATTTGTTGTCGCCTTTATTTTTGGAGATGAACCGACTACCTATTTTTGATTTACAATCTATATTAAAAATTCCATAAATAGACGCAATCTTGCGTTTTGTTAAGTTTTGTTCAATATCAGCCGCAGAAAACGATCAAATAATCGTTTTATTCAGTTGGCTTGTCTGGTTATTGATACGATTTCTATCACACGCAATATTTGTAAACAGTTTAAATTAATATTTATTTATTTTTTTTTTTTTTTTCGGAAATCCTATTTTGATTTTGTTATTATTATTGTGTAACGATACTCACAGAATATCAAAGTGGCTTGATTTCGGTGTATGATATTATATATTTAACTGTTAAAAATATACAAATAGATTAGTATATCGCATAACAGATTACAGAATGTGCGCGATCTGTTGTGCGTGTGTTTATACATAAAAAAAAAAAAAAAAAAAGGGGGCAAGGTATAGGAGATCTATCCCGCATATCGACCTCCCCCCACCCCACTATAAATACGCCACTGTTGTACCGTCCAGCCACGGGACAGAAAGACCCGCGTGCACGTACACGTGAACGGTCCGGTGGAAATCCGCGTTTACCACTCCGCGTCACAGCTATCGTTCCCCCCCCCCCCCCCCGCCCCCGGTCAACACGCCTGTATACGTGTAAAACAATAATATTTTTGCGTTCCGGTGCATCGCGCACGTTTCCGCGTAGGTATAAATATTAATTACGACCGACATATTTCGAACGTCCAACTTCGGGTTACCAAGGTTTCAGCATACAGGTACCTAAATACAGGATCGCGCCGTAGCCCGCAACTCGCAAAATAACTTAACGTTTACGCTGCGTGCGCGTGTAATACGTTCGCGGCGTATTTTTCATAGTTTAAAAGTTTACGTTTTAATGGGTTTTTATGTTTTAAAAGAAAATCTCGCCGGGTCGTATTATAATGCTCGTTGGGGAGTGCTAAGCTCGCGCACGAGCGCGAGCGGGCAATATGAAAAAAAGACCCCTCGTCCCTCGCGACACGTTACGCAATAAAAAATGTAATTTTTAATTATCATTATTCAGTTACAGTTATTTTTTTTTTTTTTGTTCTCTGTAATAATGAAACAAACACGTGTTTAACTGTTTGATTTAATTCGATATTATAATCGCCCACGGTCGTATTATTGGTATTATTTGAAAACGAATCGAAATTAAAAACCAGTAGGTACCCACCCACGTACATTAATAATATTATTAGTGAAACCTAATGGCTTTTGTTCAAATGAAAAGAGTGTCGAATAGTGCGGTGCCCGCGTACGGTAAACCCGCTGCTATATTAATTTGTGGTACACGAATATATATGGGTGTGTTTTCCCCGTTCTGCGTTTTGTATACAAACGATTTTCGCCGTATCATTGTACGGCGTATAACCGAACCGCCGACATCGTAACTAGGCGTGCGCACTAGGGTGGTCCTCGGACTATAGACGGAGACAATTTTTTTTTTCGATTTTTGATTGGGCTACCACTGAAATTCGTTCAGACCCACGGAAAAAAAAAACAATGTATTTCGTAAAGTTTCGTAATAATCGGTAAACGTTAAGGCGGCACGCCTCAAGAGGGCTGAAGTTCAAATAGGGGCGATTTTTAGATTTTTGTAATTTTCGGTCTAAAATTTTCAAGACCGGCTAAAAAGCGTAAGAACGATATATTTCTTAAATCGTTTGTCCTACGCAAAATGTTGTTCGTACATTTTTCGTTTAACAACTGCGTTCGCCTACAAAATAACATACACTAATTTTTAGTATGTTTTACACGGTAACGGCTTGTACAATAATATAATATAATTTGTACCGAGAGAGTTCACAACGTAACTGCATAAACATACTTTATAGTAGCTACTGAATAGCCCGCCAATAACACGGTTAAAACGCGTGGTTCGCGGAAACGAAAAGCTGTGCGATATTAACTGCGCGCGTTCCAACGCGTGTCGTCTGCCCGAACTGGCGCGGACACGGTGACTACTCACGTTTTCGCCACGTCGACAACACGCAGTTTTCAAATGTCAAACACGTCTTTACAGGTTCGTTATTCGCTCGGTTTTGGACGCGTTATTTATTTTGTTTATGTTAATTCGGACGTTGTCGTCACAGCTCAGTTTGCAATTGTCCACACACCGTCGACGGACGGACTTTTCGATTTTAAAAATGGACGGCAAAATCAACGATACACGCGACCGTATTGATTTGATCGGTACTAGTTCTCGTCAACCGGTTGGACGCGAGTCGCCATCGAACAGACGAGTTTTATCGGTCCGGTTTTTTACGCATTCGAGAAGTCGAGTTGAGTTTACGCGACTGAGTTTACGCGGTTAGTGATTGACGAAACGTTAATGTTTTGGCGAAAAGCCCGAATACCTGCTAGGGAAGTTCGTAATTGCGTACCAATGTGTAGGAAGAGTTGTACAACACGCGGCGAAGTTTGCAGAAAAATTCAAGTCGGAGAACAAATACTCGAATTAAATATGAAAATGAGTTTGCACGATGTTTTGACGAACTATTCGACATTGCCCGTGCAGATGCATTGGATATAATGACTGTTGACATAGACATAGACAGTTTTTAATTGCTCAGAGACGAAAAGGTCGTCCGGGAGCGATGATGGGCGTCGATTGGA